GTTAGAACATACCAAGTTTTCATTACACATAGTCCCCAGTGTATCTTTCTTTTGGTGCCTTTACTAGGAATATATATTCAATTTTTGAGATGCCATTTTTGGGTACTCAATGCCATTATTTGCTACCATTACGCAGCAACGAATGTTGAGAGAAGAATCGAATGCCATTGAAACTGAACAAGTTGTAAAGGGCTCTCGCGTAGGGCCATGCCCAAATGCTTAGTTGGAAGGTCTGCTGCCATATATGCTCAGCTTGCGTTGACCTTGCTGATTACCAAGTTGTTCCTTAACTCCCTGCGTTAAATATCCAATAATTTGCACGTGCAAATCTCAAGAACCTTTTCTATCTCAAAGAAACATTATCCTTCCAGTAAAGAGAAGATTGTTTTGGGTTAGCATGTGATTGCCGTATTGCCTTTTTGATTCTCCACTAGCTCAGTGTTTTCATCTTGTTGTGGTCCAGAGATTTGTGTGATATTTTCCACTTAAAGTCAGCCTTTCCATTTCTGTCTTAATTGGACCATCTTGCAACATTTTACCATTTTATTTTCTTTTTTTGTTCACTAGCAGTTTTAAAGTACATAATTCAAACAAGATCTCTAAGGCTGGCATTTCAAAAATCTCAAAATGGTGAACAAATAATTTAATCGGGTTTGTTGGTTTATTTATTTATTTAAGAATGAATTTTTAGATTACTACTACAACTTGTGAATCTAATAAAAAAAAAAAAAAATCAATTTGTGAAGTATAAACTATCAGTTAGTTAGATGTTATAATTTTCTTCTGAAGTACGGGATTCAAACCTCTAATAGGCCAGCTGATAAAAATATTGTTTTGTTTTATTTTATTTATTAATTTTACATAAACAATGAATATTTATTATTTGTTTTGGTATTACTAACAAAATTATGAATTTAAAGATTATTAGAGTAATTAAAAATTATATAAAAAATTAAAATAAGAATATTCTTGTTAAAAAACATTAACGTGAAAAACAGTAATATTTTAGTGTAGCTTTATAAATCAAAAGGAAAAAGAAAATTTTGTGTTTATTTTTTTCAGCTTTTAAGCTATTAAGCGGCTTATGAATCAAACGGATAAATAAAGTTTACCTTGTCAATTGACTAATCTCAATATATATGCAAGAGTTAAATAAGATGGATTATATATAATTATATAAATATTATAGTTCTACTCCACCACATCATATTACTGCCAATCAGATCAAAACTCTGATCAGACAAGACCCAGAAAACTAAATCTCGGAACTAAAGATTTTGGGTGTGGCAAGTGCTGGTGGTGGGGGCTTTACCAAAGCCATGGAGGAACTAAAGAGATTTCTTTAACCCTAATTATTGTGACATTTCTTGAGCCTCCTATAATTGTATACTAGAGTGTTTCGGTTTTCCTTCATCTCTTTTGTAGCAAAAGAAAAATAATTTAATTAATGATTCTCAATTATTTATAAGAAACAAAAAAAAAAAAAGAAAAAAAAAGAAAGAGAAGGAAAATAAACTTGTTAATTATATGGATAATTCCTATATAATTAATTGGAACTGAGTCTTCAAAAAGAAAAAAAAAAGAAAAAATTAAATTTATAATGATTCAATCAATCATTTACGTTTTAATATACGTCCTCACACGTAAACTCGTCAAGCTGAAAACGTAAATCTTACATAGATTTATCAAGTCTTGTGTGAAGTTAATTTTTTTTTTTTTTTTTTTTTTATTATAATAGAACTTCGAAGTTTGATATTATTTTAAATAATTAATCCAACCAATTATTTCAAAAGTCTAAACTTATAGAAAATAATCAAATCAATTAATTACTTTGGATTCAATTCATGATCCACAAAATACATTCCAATATCTATTTTGCATAGATTC